CTTGATAGTCGAAGCAGACCTTGTGCTGTTGAAGCTAGAGAGGTGAGCAGTCTAAGTCTGATTAACTGTAAAGACTTCTCTGTTGACACCCACCCCTTGGCGCTCATATGACCATATTCAGTTGCGAGCGCCGTAAAACCCTCTACTATAATTTTTTTTAAATATGAAATATTTGAATGCATGTAATGTGATGTGTGTGATGTGTGGGACGTGTGTGACACATATTTCTGGTTCTCAATGTTCCACAGGTGTGTGAATTGTGCCCTAATACTGGAGGAATTTTTAAAGAGACAGACAATGGAAAGTAAGTTTTCACGTTTGATTATTGTTGTCATGCGGACCCTCTATAAATTACTGAAGTGAGTTGATTGTGTTGTTGTACCGGCTCACTAGACAGTACAGCTATCCTGCTAGTGGTTTGATGGCACCACTGTAGTTCCTTCTTTTCTTTCCCACTGGTCTGTCTGTCTGTCTTAATTTTTCCCAGCTCTAAGTGACCACCAGTATATTAATGTGCTACTCTCTACTCAAATAAACAGCCTGCCTTGAACTGAGATTTCCACCATCGTCATTTTCTGACGGAGATGTGTATGGTAATTGGTTGTCCTGCATGCTTTTTCCTCAGATGGGTTCACATTGTGTGTGCGCTGTACACACCGGGAGTGGCCTTTGGCGACGTGGACAGACTGGCCCTGGTCACTTTGTACGAGATGCCGTACGCCCGGTGGGGGGCACGGGTGAGACTAGAGCTTTTTTTCACATATAATTTTCTATTTATGATATATATAGATATATATTCAGAGAGGGGGGGGAGACAGAGAGAGAGAGAGGGGGAGGGAGGGAGGGAGAGAGGAAATGTCCAAGCAGCCGCACATGGTCAGAGAGTGAAGTGGTTGTCTTAGACAAGTGATTCTCCTGGTCATTGTCATTACACACTGGTGTCCACTTCACAGGAACTCAGATAAATGCAACGTCTGCCTTACAGCGACCGTAGCTTGTGAAATGATTAACATCAGCCTTTTCCTCTAACAGCAACTTCGGTGCCATAATTTGTATGACAGTTATTTTTTTAAACGATTCTAAAACAGTTTAAACAAGAACAATAGTCTTTAATTTCAGTGTGAGTGCTTCCCTCCTCTCTTATCTCCTTATGACACGTACTTAATTTTCTTGCGATAGCGAGAATGTGGACCTTTTTGTGATGCTCTAATTTTTTCCCCTTCTGTTTCAGGAATGTTCTCTGTGTGAAGACTCTCGGTTCAGCCAAACTGGCGTTTGCATTAACTGCGACGCTGGGATGTGCAAAGCCTACTTTCACGTCACATGGTAGGTCATAATAATAATGATAATAATAATGATAATTGCTTTTTGATATAGGGCATTGTATTATCCTGATTTTCAGCATCACAACTTTCCAATAATTTTGCTCTTGTTCAATTTATTTATATGAAATAAACACTAGACTGAGTAGAAATGAATGATCTAGGCAACTATTATACAGTTTGATTAGAGATACAAGTACAAGAATTGGTTGGAATTTGGTCGTTTTTTTGGTCCTTATTTAAACAGCTGAGTGATGCTCTGAGCCATCCGAACTGGCATGCCGTACACTAAGTCACTGAGAGTTTATAAAACGACAAGTAGATAAGATAAGATAAGATACATCTTTATTGTCCAGATCCTGGCTCATTGATTTAGTGTTTCACCACGTATACACGCACACGCACACACACACACACATCACATACGCTCGTGCGCACACCCATGCACACACACGTAGGCTTACAATCACATGCATAATATAAATGGGCAGCAATATAAACAATAATAATTGTTAGCTAGATACACATTCAAAGTTATTTTGATGCATGCTATAAGGTCGTAAGTATACTTATACAAGATGGTTAAGATGGAAGCATTTTGATAGATGATGGTAGAAATGACCTTCTATATCTTTCTTTGTTACAGATCAGAAACCTAGGTCTTTTACTTCTGACTGATGTTTGTATTTGAGGGAACAAGGGATGTTTGTTGTCTAAAAAGATGGAATTAATTTTTTTTTTCGTGCAAGCTGATATGCAGTTGGAAGAAAGAAAGCATTTACTTTTACCTTGAAAAAATACACCTTGGGTCTGTGACCTTTTACCTTAGCCACAGAGTTATGTACACACTTGAAATCTAATTTCTTTTTCTTTTCTGCCCCCGTTCATCCCCCCCCCCCCCCCCCCTCCACACACACAACCCCTACCCTATCTTCCCCCACCCGCTTTCCTTCTTACATCTCCCTCCTCCATCCCCCCCCCCTCCTTCTCTCTCTTCTTCCCCCGCCTCCCTCCCCCCTCCCAGTGCTCAGAGGGAAGGACTGTTAGCAGAAGCGTCCCCTGAAGAGGTTATGGTAAGTTCTGAAAGATGTCTGCGTCACTTGCTCTCCGGGACTTTAGAAATACAGTCAAGGCAAACCTGCCATGTGGGTGGTTGGCAGGTGCTCTGGTGTGGTTTGCTTCTTCTTTCCTATCAAACATTGTGTGTTTGTTACTCTCTTGTAACAGCTCTAATCTTCTGGCGCTCATATGACCTTATGAAGTTGCGAGCGCCGTAAAACCTCTACTAAAACTAAAACCTGCCACTTCTTTTCATCTCTGTGTTGGTTTTGTGTAGCTTTCTTGCTTTATTCTTGCACTATATGACCGTTATTGTAGTCATGTGATTTTGTTTACTCGGTCCTGGTTCTTTTCTTTCCCTCTGTTATTTCTTTCCCTCTGTCTTGTTTCTTCCTTGCACTTTTTAACTGTTTTTATGCCGATGTGCTTTTAAGTATAAGTGGGTGGTTTGCGGGTGCTCTGGTGTGGTTTACTTTTTCTTACTATCAAACACCTATCGGCCTTATCTCCTTCTATTTTTCTTTGTAAATTACTCTCTAAAAACACCTCTAATCTTTGACACTATATGACCTTTGTGTGTTGCAAGTGCTGTAAAACTCTTAATAAAACTAACCGCCCTTAATCTTCTGCACTTAGATGACCTTTTTGTGTTGAAAGTGCCATATTCACCTTTACAGTGTTAGTAGATCAAGAACCTAAACTAAAGCTCAAACAAACATAATCTGCAGGATATTGCAGATCCGTTCTTCGCCTACTGCAAGCTGCACGCTGACAAACTGGTGTCCAAGATGAAGAGGAGGAACTGGCTGGCCATACAGTCTCAGGTCAAGATGCACAAGCCCAACTTGATGGTGGAAGAGAAGGAGAAGGTAACTTAGTGCTCACATCGTCTGTGCTTGGCAAGATCACAAAAGTCACTAAAGTATGGACCTGTAGAATTTCCAGGTACCCTTTCACATCTGGATGAAGTGAGGAGTGTTAGTGTAAAATGCCTTGCCCAAGGACACAATGTTGGGCAGAGCTGAAATTCAAACCCCTGAACCGGCAGCCTGACGATAATGAGTCTGGTAGCCTCCCCACTGGACTGCCCATGCCACCAAATCATTTAGTTGTTATTGTTCTGGCTGAATGATATCAGGAAAAGTGTTAGATTGGAACCCACAGAGTGGGAGATCAGGGGAGGACCTCGTGGGGCCTGGGGAAGAGTCAAGGGGATGGATGTACGGAAGGCGTGGAGTGACATCGGGTGACTGGCCCAGGATAGGGAAAGGTGGAGAGTGTTTGTTCGTGGCCTATATCTTGACCCAGGGT